ATAAGCATATGGGCTCCCAACGTTTGCCTGTGGTGTCTCTATAATTGTCACAGGTTTTTGAAACACCACCACAATCGCGAAATTTAAACCCAATAGAACACATTTGGAAAGAATTGAAGATTAGAGTACGAAATTACGACAACAAAACGAAAAGCGAACTCAAAACTGTCATGATGGAAGAATGGATGAACATTGATACAGAAATTACAAAATAATTAGTAAAATCTATTCCCAGACGTTTAAAAGCTGTTGTGGATGCTAAAGGATATCCTACTAAATATTAATTTAACGAAAAAGGAAAATATTTACTAAAATATCAAGATTTTTTTGAAGTGTACGAAGACTTTTGTGAGATAAAATGTTTGTCACTTTTTGATTATTAATTTCTTAAAAATAAAGTTTCGCTTACATTTCACAATTAATTGCTTTCCTTTTTACGCTACATTAATTTTATTATTTTTTAAAATTTACAATTTTTATTTACTTTTTGTATTTTTGCATTTTTAACCAGGGTCATATTTGTCCGGTATTAAGTCTTCTATTTATTACTACTATTATTGTCATTATTACAACTTATTTAAAAAATAGGTTCTTAAAATAAGAGTATGGAAAAAGCTGCAAATTATTATGTTTATTGTGAGTTAGATGGAGGTCTCCTAATGCGTAAAAATCGCGTCATCGGCTTTGACTATTCTGACTGGCTTAGTAGCTCAGATCAACTTGGATACAAAATCTCCCTGTGTAGACGAGATTATCATTTGAATATGGCAAAGTCACAAGGTCTAAGAGTACAGATGACTTCGTGGAGGACTTTTTAAGTGAAACTAGTTTGTATTAACATTACATATGGGAAAAACTACGAAAACCAATACTGCAATCAGCCCGTTTGCTTGTATTTGAATCCAAGCCAGATCGAACTACCAATAGTCAACGATCTTAACCACTCGGCCTATGGTGAGGCTGTGTAGAGGAAATGGTGTCAGAAGTCTTGTTCGGAGTTACGTCTCCTGGTGTATACGGGACTTTAAAAACCATAGGAAGCAGATTCTATGGGTATTAATGTTAACTGCTCGTGCCGGCTTTATTGAATTTCAAATTCCGCAGAGGGCCCGTTATCTGGGTAGATTAGAGGTTCCCAACTTTTGCTGGACCTCTTCCACAATAGTTTTACCACAAGTAAAGATATTGCTGTATATTATTCATGTCTATACTATCTGTTAAGTCTATATTATATCTAGTCTATTAGTCTGTGTCTATATTATCTGCGTTATACCTATTAAGATATATAAAACAGAAATTAATTAAAGTAACCACCAAATTTTTATTAAAAATTTAAAGATTAAAAAAGTTAATAAAAAATAAAAAAATTAATGAGATGGTTCAGGCTGATGGAAATTTAACAATCTGTTAATGTAGGATTCCAGTTCCATTAACTTAAGTTTCAAAGTGCCACGTTTAGTGATGTGGAGTCTGTTCATTTTCTTAGATAATAAATTAGCTCTTGCTTTGAACCCACAGTTCAACTTCATCGTATTTAACTCAGTTAAATACGCTGAAGGAAAAGTAATTAAAAATTACTATAGTCTTGCCCCCAATCTAGGGTAGATAGCTAATATTAATTTTACTTTCAGTTCTTTTTTAGCTGGGAATTCTACAAACGGTGAGGTTTTCTTTTGAATTTGATGATTCTGCTATTTGCGAAAGACCCAATTCGGTATATTCGTGTTATAAAATATCTTGGAGTCACTTCATAAAATCAGCATGAAGAACATCCCAACATCCCAGTGTTGGCAGTACTTGTTTTGAAGTCTTGTTGGCAGTCTTGATTTGAGGAGACTGCTGACATTGTAGGAAAGTGTTTGTATTAATTTCGACTTAGATTTCGTTTGAACAGAAGTTTTCCCACAGAACTCGTTGTGACGTTTTTTGTTTTAATTAAATTCAACTCATGCACTTGCAGATATAAATTGACACTATTAAATGTTTTTAACAGGTCTGTCAAATAAGAGATTTCATTTTTGGACGTAATCAGATTTTTGCACAGTTTCTCATCTTTGGTTTCTGGTAAGAGGAGTAATGAGCGAAATAAATTGCAAAAGCAATTCAAACAAATACATTTTGAAGTTCTGTGTGCAGTAGCAAGCGACTGTAATCTTCATTTTCACTACAGAGTTGGCCATATAATCTATAATGCAATGAAGTGATTGTGATCTTATTGAAAATATTAGGAATGATAAAATAGTACGAATTCGAATTCCTTTCTCTACAAAAATGTTTTTCGTGGTATTCAATATCGATTCGCGTTTTGTATCAGTATCCAAATGTTTAGCAAATAATAACTCTTGACAGCTTTATTTTTGTCTTTTATGAATCGAACGTATGATAAGGGTAGTGCTTCGTTATTTCGCACAGCTGATTCATCGAGCTGAATGGAAAATTTCAAGTCCATTTCATCTCTGCTCCGAATTACTTCACTCAGAGGAATTTTTACGATGATACTTGATGGCATCTTGTAATGAAGACAGTTTTTATTATTTCTCTGTCTGCATGCAAGATTAATTTCTCGCCAATTATGTGTGGTTTTGCAGCTTTTGCGATTAAGACTGAAATATTATGACGTTCGTAGTCCGTCAATTTCTTGATTAGAAGATGACGGACAAAAAAGGTTTGATGTTTTCAATATATCTTTTGCAGTCCTTGAAAATAGGATAAATCTTTGCCCTTTTTATTAGCATGCAGTTAATCCAGGGCTCTTTCAACCTAAAAGGGTTCGTGTCTTCATTTGAAGCAAGTTTTGGTAAATTAAACATATAGGTAATGATTGGATTGTAAGCTATTTGGTTAAAATCCATATTTGAAACAGTGTTCTACTGCCGGCATTTCTTCTTAGATACAGGCATTTTGAAATGCAAAATTGGATACATTTTAAATAAATTAACTTTTCAATAGATATAAAGGTAGTTACGAAAATAATGGCTATAATGACTTTATATCAATTTCACTCTCGAAAATGGATTATTGGCGAAGCACACTAAAGCAGGTGACAGGTGAAAGCAGGTCCGGACATCCGGACGGCTTACATAGACACTAGTCGGGTATCGTCCGGATCCCGCAACTATCTGAAGCTACACTGCGAAAACAATACAAGGGCAAAGTACATGGCCATACAAGGGCAAAATATAGATTTTTCTGCGTGCGAAATTAAACATTTTCCTAACTACATCGCATGCTAACACATTGCTACATATACCCGCTACAATATACATTTCATAATATGCATTGCGTTGATCATTGCACTGTACTTAAGGCACATTTACAACTCAATGCTACACTTAATACACTATATATTCTTTGCAACACATTACGATAAACATTATTCTTGACAATTCAACATAGATTCTGAACAATGTAATTGTTTAAAACTGACATAACTCGATTATATAGTACATAACTTCGTTATATAATAAGACAGACTTAAATAAATAACTTGATACAACAGATAAATAAAAAAAAGAGCTCTTAAATAAAGAGCATAATTGCACATTACAAACAAATTGCACATTTTGCACACAGAAATCCTCTTTGTTTACTTTTGTGCTGTACTTATAATATACAAAATACAGATTTAAGAACACAGTACAGCCCATATTACTTTTGATTAAATAACATGTTAAAAGTTAACTGTGGCATAAATTTTGCTGTATTCTTAAAACATACCAAAAATAACTTTGTAATTAAACATTCTACTGGTTACATTGCACCTTAACATACTGCTATATATAAAACATTCAATACACTAAAATTTTTATAATACATATTACATTGAACACTGCACTATATTTAGGACACCTTACAAAACTCATTTCTACACTTAATGCACTGTGTGTAGTGGCTACATATTGCATTGAACATTACTCTTGATTAAATAATATAGGCAGTGGTAGTAACTCTTTGTTATATACAACATAATTCTTAATACAAAAAGCTTATAAAAACACTGTTAGAAATACACATTGAGGGAAAAAAATTACAGATTAAATTAATTGCAGTTAAAAAATTACATGTGCTAGATACATTAAATACCGTATTTACCATGCACTATACATTTCATAATATGCACGTTAACACATTGCTATATTTAAATCACTCAATACACTAAAATTTACAGAATGCAATAATATTTACATACATATAACTACTATAATAATTACTAATATAATATTTACATTCTGTGCTCTTAAATACATTAAGCTGTAGTACTACAGTTATAATTATTATGCTTCCTGCGGCTCAAAGCATAGCTCTGCATGCTACGAGCACTTACACATTTTACGAAGGTACTATACACAGTGTGCTGTACAATACATTATTCACAATACGCTGCACAATATTCTATTTATAAAATGCACATGCTTACAATATTGCACCCATGCATTAATATGCTCATTACAAATATACATACTTGAACTATTTACATTTGGATAATATTAAATCATATTTACATTTGTTTTTCGTGTTCACCAGCCTAATGTTACTCTGCGTACTGACTCAAGATGGGCTTCTTGCAGAGGCCACTGGAAACCAGTGTGCATTGATGCTTTGAATCTCTGCGAAATTTAAGTCCTGTTTATTGTGGGCTGCATAATTCTAGTCCTAGTGCTTCAAGTTTGTTCATAATGCTTTTGAACTTCTTGAGGTATAGGCTGGCTGCTTAATGAAGAAGCGTTTATAAGCAATGTCAGTATCAGGAAGCCTCATGTGCCATTCTCCGTGAGAGGGCAAGATGTAACGTAATGATCAGGTGTACCTACTTCATTACAGACACAATGATCAGTTGTTGATATTCCCCTTTGATAGAAATATTGGGGAAATGGTCCGTGGCTTGTAATGAAACGGGAAAGAAAAGGGGCTGAGATGAGTCGATCTTGGGAAACTCTATGGACAAAGTCATGGGTTCTACGGCTTTGCGATATAGAGTCCCATTCCTCTTGCCATTGTTGCTACGATTTAATGCGACAGACTCGCTTCAGATAAGATTTGGGAAGCGGGATCTGGACATCTTGCGCACCGATATTCTTTGCAGCTTCCTTTGCAAGAGTGTCTGCATCCTCATTGCCTCTGTGGCCCGCGTGTGCTTTAATCCATAAAATCTGGATGTTGCAGTCATGCGCAATTTCTTTGAGCAGGCATTGTATATCTGCTATGATTGGTGATGAATGGAATGGATCGCGAAGAGCAAAGATTGCCGACTGACTATCTGAGAAAATGCAAATTTCTCGGTCAACAAACTTCATAGCTGCTGTTATAGCCTGGCGCAATGCTACTGCTTCAGCTTGGAATACCGATCTATTAAGTCCAATGTATCCTTTCCAAGTTTCTAAGATTTTATCATGATAATGAGAAATAAAAGCGCAGCCTGCCTCTTCGTTGATTTTTGAGCCATCAGTGAATATGCTGATGGTATTTGCATTACCTGTGTCTCTTACCCGTAAATCCTGAGACATAGAGGTATGGGCACAAATGCCCAACCCATAACTAGCGGGATGAACTTTGAGCTGAGAATTTTTGTTCTCAAAGTCTGATGGTACAAATGTAGTTCCCCTAAATGAGGCTGACTTCCTAAGAAGCATGACAGTAGAGACTGTTGCCTCTTGTAGTGCGGCTATTGGCAGAGGAATAAGTCCAGCTAGAACCGCTGCCGCTGCTGTGGCCGTTGTCCTGTATGTTTTCGTGATAGCAAGGACGAAAGGTCGTTGAATGCTATTAAGTAAATTCAATTTCCTCGCAGTCATGGGTCGGGCCGAAATAGCTGCCCCATACAAAACTATTTTTTCTACTACCGTCTTGTAAATAGTCTTGAGGAAGTGGGGTCGTAATCCCCAATCTTTGCCCTGCATATTTTTAATTCTAGTTGCTATTCTTGTGGCTTTGACCCTTTGGGCTTGCAAGTGAGGAATCCAAGTGAGGTTTTCATCCAAGATGAGGCCAAGGAGTTTTAGCTCCTTGACCCTCTTGACCGTCACTCCTCTTAGCTTGATGCACGGGTTCCTTATGATGGTTTGTTTAGGCTTGTGAAAAATATAATGTATTTAGATTTTTCCTGTGATATTTTAAAGTGTTTTTCAGTGCAGAGGTTGTCAAAGAGCGAGATAACCTCGTTGCAGTTTTTCTCCAATTCGTCCCTGCTATGGCCTCGAACGATGAAAGTGGCATCATCTGCAAAGGCTACTGTCTTTGTATGCGACGGCCAACGCGCATTCAGTACGGAGTTAAAAGTGACATTCCAAGCACACTAAAGCAATAAGACATTCCTAGAACTGGACCTGGCTTTTATAAATGTGATTTCGTGCACGTATCAAATTATGCACCTTTACATATTTGCGAAGCCTATGCATTTGCTGCGTAAACAAGTCATAACGAGCTCCCATATTTTTCTCGAAATATGCTTGAATGTGTGAATTGTATCTTTACTTATCAACTTGCAAAGACTTATCACCAACAATACTAAATGGAATTAGGTATATGTACAACCTAAAGCTTTAAAAATTTTTATGCTTATTTACGCGATAGCAATAAAATAAAAAAATTAAACAGTTAGGTAAAATATTTATCCATGGAAACAGTAAGTAGAATTTTCAAAGAATTTTATTACATTAATTTCCCAAATAAGTAGATGCGCAAAAGCTGCCCTGGACCGCCTTAATGTCCCCCCATTTGCCTATGGACGAGCTACTGCCTCCGTTGGAAACTTATGAGATAAATGAATCTTCGTTTCAGATGTACCAGATGAACGGGAAATTTGTATAGCAACGAAGATTACCGAAAAGCAAGAACCTCTTCTACCAAGTCGATAATATAGTGGATGGAACTGATGCCGAAGTATGTTATGGGCAATCTTCAAGCTAGAAATATCGGAGAGTTATAAAGTTAGGTAAACCTAAACATTTATTTAGTAAATGTAAGCATTTAAAAATTTCATGTTTTGACTAATTTTAAAACGCTGAAGTTTCAAATTCATTTTCATGCATATTCAGCAGCACTAACTGAAGTTTGTCATTAACATAACATTTAACAGCGCGTTTTGGTAAGACGTTGAAAGAAAGGTTAACGTTAATAAAAATATAAAATCAGTTTTCCTAACTTTCGAAAAAACAAAAGTTACATTGCATTAAAAAGAATAAGAAAACTAAAATATTCCGAAGCATCTAAATTTTAAAAAAAATAAAAATCCATTATTTAGAAGACACGAATTCTTTGATTTTGTTTTAAAAAAATTTAACGAATAGCTACTTCTCAAAAATAAAAAAAAAATATAATCAGTTATACAATAACTAATGTAACAGATTAGAAGCATTAATATGAACTGCTACGCTATTTATTTATTTCAATAAAGCAGTATGGGGCAACTTGGTGAAGAAGGCATACCTTCACGGAAGAACCAAGAAACTAGATCATTAATTATCATTACTGCTTTAACAAGAACTTCATTCGGCCACGAGCTGAGTGATCGGAAATCGAACCCAAGACAAGCTGTTAGTGCTTGATGATGTTAGTCCTTCTTTCGTTGATGAATCTATTAACTTGGAATTTATCCCAAGGTGAAGATTATATTATTTATACCAATAATTATGTAAGCTGATACCATCCGACAAAATTTCTCAAACTTTTTTTAGCCTTAGAGACTCGTGATCAGACAAAATGTTTTGTGATTATTTTACTAAGTTTTCGCAAATCTCTTCCCCTTGAACAAAAACCTCATTTGTCATATACTGCAGTGCATTAACATTAAATTTATGAGGTTTATTAAAAATCAAGAACTACCTTTTAAAAATCAAAAGCATTCACATAGAAAATTAAAATAGAAAATATAGAAATGTTTTAAAATATTAAATCACCAAATAAAAGCCTAAAATAGTACTTATTTACGTAAAAATTCTTGATGATTAATAAAAATAAAATTTTAAGCTGGCTCTGTTTAATTTGAGAAATCACTTAAAGTGATGTGCGATAGGTAAGTGTGATAATAAATGTTAGTCAATGAATTTACAGGTATAACGAAAAGAAACAAATATCTCAGTAGTAAAAATATTAATGAGTTCTCAAATTAAATTGGGAACAGGGTTTTTAATCGATTTCCCCAAATAATTAGGAAGCTGAAAATATTAATAAAAATATTAATAAACATACTTATATATGAATAAAGAACGCGATTACACTGTATCTTTATTTATAACATCATTTTAAATAAAGGAAAACACAAATGTTAGCGTGCGCCTCAGTAAATATGCAAATATCATGGAACTGACAAATAATCTGCAATTAAGCTATTCTCTTGTAGAATTAGTGAAGTTTTGAGGAATTAATGTCTAATTTTCGTTATTTATATTATGAAGTAAGAATCTAATATTCTTAATCTAATGTCATCAAACAGTATCTTCTCAGATAAACAAAAGAGAACTGCTGACAACGAAAAAGTATGACATCAGCAAAATCTATCACATAGAATGATATCGCCTGGAGCATCAGCTATGAACTATAGCACTTCTTCGATATCTTTAGAAAGAGCTTCCGGATTATTCTAATCAATATATGGTAAAATATTTCATGGATGTATGATGCTGAATAATTTTGGCTATATTCTTTTGAATATTATAACACCACACAACTGAACAGGCTTTTGATATCTAAAAATAATATACTGTAATGTTCTATTAACTTAAAATTGTTTGGGAGGAAGGATTAAAGATAATAATTATTTTTTTAAACCAGGTTACTCATGACTGATTTTGTTTAGAAAACAGAAATGGCTTATTTGCGATAATAATGTTAATTCGGACTACATTTAGAATGCAATAGACTGTCTGTTTTCAAATTTAACTTATTTCTTTCTTTATTAGAAAGAAAATATTCAGTTCTAATTAGAAAACGTTACCGGTTACTGTTATAAAGGTTATAAATTTTCGCTCAGACACTGCAAACTGCAGATCTTTAAGCTGATTTTACTAATTCTGTAACCATCAATTACAGAGCTAAATAAATATTTTATCTGAATTTTACACACTTCGATCTTTCTCTGTTTAATTATTATGCTTACAAATTGCAAATAACAGCCAAGTCCAGCTTGTTTAGTTAGTTAAAACAGATAGTTAAATAAAAGCATAAAGCCTAAGAATACCAAATTTTTAAGGTACCAAACAGATTATATTAACTTAGAATTATTCTTTAATGAAATTCCCAAAACTATATAATTAAGAGGAAGAAAGGTCCATTAAATAATTTTATAACTAATTCTTAGAACAAGATTTGTAATAGTCTTTTGCATGGAACAGCAGTTTACACTGAATAACTTTCGCTGTCTTTCACCGCAGGGTTCATTAATATGTTCCTTTTAATGGCTTTGCCCATGCAAAAATGGTGTGAGAACTCACATATTTGGTAAGAGATTTAAAGTTTTTCTCGATCGAGAATGGAATTAAATACCATTAAACATTTCCATTTCGCTAGCTTTTGCGTGCTGGCATGGCGACGAAGATTATTATGTCGTATGCACATTATTTAAATCATTTATATGAATGAGATCCTTCAGAACTACATGTAATCCACAAAAGTGGGATGTGGAAGGACAGGCATCATAATTTAAATCCTCTGAAACGGTTCCGAAAATCATGAGGATAAATTTGTAAAATGAGAGCAGTGTATAGAAAGCTCGGAAGAAAAATGCGATATGCTATTAAGTACTTCATTTCCCAGGTACTCACACAGTTCCGTTTGATAACAGAGATGAACATCGAAGACACCATCTGCTGCCATCTACAAAGCTAAAAATAGACACGAACTGAAATCGTTGAATGTGATGGGAAAGTGTAAAACTCAGACTTTGCACTTTCATTTGATTTTTAAACTTTCAGAACTAAAACCCTGAAAGCGTTGCTTAGCTTGTTATATTTTTTGGAATTATGCTATTTCATCCTATTAGTCTTCACTACGTATTCTATATTACGTGATTTTATAAAAATACATTTTGCAGGAAGTTGCTAATTTTTTATAGCTTTATATACTGTTTTTTAGATATTTTCAAAAGTGTTTCAGAAAGAACGTACCGGTTTATAAGAGCAATAATCATGCTGTCTTATTGAAATAACAGTTGGAAATAAATAGAAATAATAAGTTCTATAAGCTTGTCTGGTTCTAACCTGGACTTATGAAAGTGTTTTAAATCTATTGATCTCATAAACTACTTTAAACACCTTTTTTCATATCTATTATCCTTTTTAATAAATTTATTGCTCGCAGTCTTATTGAAATTGATATTGGTTTTCTGCACAAGATTCGCCCATTAGTTAGAAGATATTCGATCTTAGGTCTCTAAGTTAAAAATCGTTATTAAATATTGAACGAATGCTTTTCACATTCCAAAACATGTCTTAGTATACAGATAACTTTGATTCAAAGCTATTTGTGTTGAAAAATACTTTCAAAATGCAATTTTCTAAAACCTAATTATATTTCAGAACAAATAAAAAACCAAAGCGAAGTCTACGTAGCTTCATCATCATATTTTGAACTAAGATTTCTTGCTTTCACAAGGTTTTTGGAGTATAATATTCAAATGTTAAAGAATGTAGAAACCTATTTCTTCATTTTTGATTTTGAAAATAATAATAATTTTATACGGATTTTATGTCTTTCTTTGAACCGAAGTAGAATTTTGCATGAAATAACGTTACCAATTTTATATGATTTCATTTTACTTGGTTTCGCAGTTTTTTTTTGTTTGGACAAAATTCTTGACTCTACGTATCCTAAATTTTTGGTTATTTTTCACACATACATATTTGCGATAACAGTGCAATACACGTAATCTGTTTTCCAAAAATTCAAGGTAAAAATGTTTTTTATTTGTATCGAAATTTTCTTACAAATCTTTGATAGCGATCAAATTAATATTAAATTTTACACTATTTAACAAATCGAAAAATAACTTTTAAAATGACAGTTTTTCTGAATTTCTAACATAATTAACCATAGTTTGGTGATTCTTTGAAATTCATTCGATTGTTTTAGTATTACGCGATCATTAACAATAGTAGTTTATTAAATCAAAGGATTTAATTCCTCAGTATTAGCAGACCCTTGCTTTAAAAGTGTACGAGAGTTTTGAAATGAGCAATTTTAATGAGAAATAATATTTTATTGCTTTATTTGATATAGCATATTTTTAGCTGTACAAAACGAGTTTGCTTTCATTTCCGAATGAGTTAGAATATATTACTAAAGACTTTTGGACGCAAGAAGAATCGGATCTGAGTTTTTACCTATCAGAAAATGGCCTTTCAAAAGGATGAACATCTCTTTGAATCTAACTTCAATAGCTAAGTTTTAAGATTACATTTTCAGCACAATTTTGAGATAATAATTTAGAAAATTGATGCAATCAAATGTGAATTATGTTGGACACTTTCAGAAGCGTATCGTCTCTACATTTCAAATTGAAAACAAGTTTCAAAAAATTAATTAACGCCTTTGTTGTTAAACTTCAGAATTATTACAGGATTACAGCTTGCAGCTTAATAATATGCAAATTATGCAGAATGCAAGAATTGCAATAACGTTCCGTTGGTGTTCAAGCGTAAAGCAGCCGGCATTATCCTATCAATCTCGAAAGCTAATACAAAGTTCAAAAAGCTGCAGGAACTGCTACAAAATGCAGAAATAATCCCAAAGGACGGGAAAACAGTAACGAATATAATTACATATGTGGACATGATGTTACTGAATTTGCCGTGAAATACTTACACGAAAGAATACAAACTTAGTCAAGAGTTTCAAAAATATGATATGAAAGTTAAGTTCAAAAGGCATTTTCATTATACTGTAGAGACATTAGGTACTTTTTTGGAAGCAGGCAAGATGAAAAATGAGCAATCGCTTTTACCAAGAAGCGAAACACGGACCTCTGGAATAACGACCCAACGTGCAAAACCACTACACCACGGAAGTACGCTAGGAAGGTGGGAGAAATACCTTATAATACAACAAACCATAAGTTTAGGAGCATAAAGGGCTGCTTAAGGTATTTGCAAAATGAAAACATCCCTCGGAGTTAGAAGAAGGATGAATTAGTGAATGCAGGCGTCCCTAATTGCTTGAAGTAAAAATTGGCAGGAAAAATATAGATTAGGGTAAATAAGGAAAACGACTAAACGTATGCGAAAGGAGAGTACTATAAATATGGAGGATTATAGGTATGTTGTGGCAGGTTTAATATAAATACCATAAATTGAACTTAAAATTCATTTTTCTCAAAACCGATTATCGTGCATAATTTACTCACTTTAAAATGATAGTTCGAAATATTATCATCCAATTTTTATTACGAATTATTTATTTAATCCAAAGTACCTGATAGTATAGAAATACTATATATAAGAATGATTATATCTAATTCACTTACATGTTTTTAAAATCGATCATTTCTAGTACTGCCATGACTTTCATTTTAGCCTCATGCGACCAAGTACATTATGCCAGATAAAATTATTATGATATAATATTATAATAGCATTATATTTTAAATTTTAGTGCATTTAAATAAAATTTTGTAATAAAAACATTTTATACTTAAATAAAGTTTACAATTTAAATTTGCGCTTATAATAGAGTTTTATAATGAAAATTACGTTTTCTTACAGATTCTTACGCAGAGAAGTTAAGCAATAAATATTTGTGCAATACGTGTTTCTTATACCTAAGCTTTCATATGAAATGAAACAGGTTTTTTTTAGCTTATCCTGAGATATTTATTATTTATAACAAGATGAAAAAAAAAAGGTGTTATCATATTATGGCAGTAAGGTAAGTCTGTAGAATTACGTTTGTTCTAGTAATACTATTTAGTCGAATAACCATAAGAGACGTGAATTGTTATGGCTGATTATTGTTATGCCTGAAACAACGACTACGTCATGAGAAGGTTATAAATAACCCTTATTTGAACAGAATCTAGAACATAAAGGCTCACTGATCAGCGTAAAATTTGTAAAGAGTAGACCTCATCATAGAACCATATAAATACCATTAGGTATTAAGCGCCTGAAGTGGGTACGAGCGAATACATAAGAAGGCAAAGAATTTAAAGCAACAAACGGGGCATTTTTTTCAAGAACAAAACACGTTGGTGCAATCGTTTCGCGAACAGAAAAATCTGGTGATGCGACAGAAAACAATACCGCGCAGAAATTACCACAAGGTCTTGACTATAAAGGCAAGAGGTTTCACAAGTTTGTTATTCATATGAGGCTAAAATATAATTTTCTATTAGCTAATACTGGAAATATGGATGAAACACATATGCACGTGGATTTGACAAAAATTACAACTGTGAAAACAAAAGGCATAAAAACAACTGCTGAAGTCAGAAATACTGGCCTTGAAAAACCAAGTTAGTAATAGTACTGACATGCATAGCAGATGGAACTAAGTTAAAACCCATGGTCATTTGCAAGAGGAATACTACTCCTAATCTAAAGTTCCTGTCAGATATTTTCGTATACTGTCATAAAAAGGGGTGGGTGGACGGAAAAGATGTAAAACACAAAATAAACACAGTTTGGCGTGAGATCGGTATCGCAGTCATACAGATGAGAACATTAAAAATCGTTTAGCTCGGAACAACACTAAGACTGCTGTTATCCCAAGTAGCACACGACGTTGCAAACTGGTCCGAGAGGTTGCAAAGTGGTCGTGGTAACTTTTAAGACGTTTTTACAACGTTGCGAAGACGCAAAATATTTGCCGTTGCATCTTGGCAATTTGTCGACGTCTCTGAAAAGTTATGATATGACCACTTTTAGACGTGGTCGTTTTAGCATTTTTTTAGTTCATCAGCATTACTTTTAGAATGAAAAGAGACTAAATCTGCCCTTTCAAGAATCTGAAGTCCGCATAAGATTTACTTTGCAACGTTTCATTACTTTATTTCATCTAAATGTATTAATCTAAAGCAGATTCATTTAATGAAAAGTAAATTTAATGTAAATATTTTTGATTTATTAAATTTCATTAGTATTAAAAATATGCGCCACATAATTGTTTAAAATTTTGTTAAAATAATAAATACTTAAAATATTTTTATAAATATTACAGCAAAATATTTAAAAATGAAACTAGTCTATAAAGTGAGTTATTAAGTTATGTATTTTATATACTTTAAAAAATTATATTTCCGAAATCAATGCAAATCACATGTTAGCAATTATTTCACAACTGAAATATGACTTTATTTCTTATTTTTGAAGGAAGAACGAATTCACGGCTGTCCAATATATATGACGGAAAACTCATCGACAGTCAGGAGAAGCAGACCTGTAACTGAGTGGTTTAACTTCGATGTTACAACCTTTCAAATGTCTCTCTGAATAAATAATTCAAAGAGGACAAGCGTGTACAGTGAATAACTGGAGGACGAGGGACGAAAGGTCGTATACGGAAGGTGGAGTTATGTGGGCTGCGTCACTTGATCTGCACTGAGATTTCGTGATCAAATCATGGGACAAAGTGAATGTGGAAAAAGTGATCGAATCCTTCAAAAAAGGGTGGGTTTTTATACTGCTAAGGACTGCAGTAAGGATGATTTGTTATGCAATACGGATGACCAAGTGGAAATCCACTCGTTAGTTATAGAATGGGACCCATATGACGAGCTTCCCAACAACGAAAGTGAGGATACACTTGAGAAGCTATTTTCTCTTAGATAATGAATATGATGATTTTGCAGGATTTTAAATATATTATCGAGTGATTTTTTTATAATGGTTTTAATTTATATAAATTTCATCTGTCCTATACAGACGACCCCAGATTTTGGGACTTTTCTTATGATTCAACTATCATTTTATCTGCGGAATAATACGGTAGATACATATATGGACGTTGAAACTTCAAAATAAAAACAACACTAAGATAAATACGTAATTACATGGCAAACGATGTCCGATTCTAAAAAATTAACAATTTTTATTTTTTAAAAATCAAATTTGCAAGGTTAAGAACATTTAAAAAAGCATATTTAATTTGATGAATGGTAAATTAAGTAAAAACGGTTTCAATTAGCAAGAGTATGTGTATTTATAAATAATACAGGAAACCTACTTTGTTCATAATAACACTGAATATTACAACATATTTACGAGAAAGTATTTTATGTTTCTGCCATAGAAAAGAAATGTTTACGCATTTTAACATGCATAAGATTTAAATAGAAGTTATTAAACAACACTATTGCAAACAAAAGTTTAATTAAAAAGTTAGAATGATTTAATTGGGATCGAATAATTATTTGTATTTAGTTATCATAACCTAAAATACAGTTTCGTACTTTTTTCGTAACGGGTGTGGAAGACATCTCTATATGATGGATTCATCGGACACCTATTGTCTCTGGTTCTCTTCATCTACTAAGCTTTAAGACAGATTGGTTTGATAGCTAGTACGACGATCGCTGGTTTGATAGCTAGACGACTGGTTTCTTTTGCCATACTTTTAGTTCCACGTTCGGTGAATTTACTATGCAGCGAAACTGCAAACCCTCGCATTTTCTCTACAACATGTTCGTTCCATATTCTGTTCTAAATTAATTTGTTTACCGAATAATCAGGCAGTTTTATCAGCGGCCGAGCGCAAAATGGCTGAACACTGGTAGTTCGACCTGGATTCGAAAGAGCCGACTGAAAGAGCACTTTTGTGGTTTTCCTCATACATAACTTGGATCTGAGCCATTTTTCCGTAGAAATTTCTCCACGAAGTCATACCTACCTTTAAACAAATAGCCGTTACGGTATGTGCCATGATCAAATAAAGCAAAGCAAAACCGAGTAATAAGGCATCTAAATTTGAGCTATACTATAAGAAATTTCTGCGAATTTTTGATGTACGATGCTCACAGACTGTACTTTATCTTTTTCATATATAGTTCTATCCATCGTTCGTATCATCCTCAGACAAAGGCTTTTAACAGAATAGATTATGCTTCGACTATGCATCGTAAAAGGGAAGAAGTAAATGATACACTTATTGAGAAAAAGAGTGTCGTTGTACATCGATTATGCCTTTTATCTAACAGAAGTGTACACGACGTTTGATAAGTTTGAATGAACAGCTTGCCTTTCTTGTTGAGAAACACGTTTCTTTGAGCATAAATGGCGCGGCTGGAAGAGCTACCAGCGTGCAAGCACTAATTTTTATTCATTTTTCGAGAAAACCAATTACCATAGATGGAGAAAGTAATGGAGGAGATTTCAATTTATAAGATGAACGAACGCGAGTCAATTTTGAGAAAGTCGTTTTGAGGTAAAGAGTTAGCTAAACCAATATTATATTGAAACAATTGAAATACTACAATACTGTAAGTCAACACTAAGTTATTGTAAATAAATATTGCGATTACCACCACGTTATTTGTTTATAACATAAACTAAATAGGATAAACACTTGCGTGTTTGCTGTATGTTAGTATATAGAGATGATCACGAGGTTTTGTAGGTCAATCTAATAAATAATCAAGATAAACAATTATGTCAGTAAATATAATAAATTTGCAGCGTAAAACATATTTGTATTCGATGCTCTCATTATAAAACTGCGATGCTATCAACAACTACAAGTCAGTAAAATATTCCATTTTCGTAATTTCATGAATAACATCGCAATTCCATATCTGAAATATTCAAACTTTTGATAATTTTATTATGGATTATAGCGGATCTAAAGCTTAATTATGTCGGCATTATATTATTTAATTTTAAATTATGTTTTAATACACTATATAGTATGTTCAAAATTTAATTTAAAATTAAATACTGGTTTTCGCAAAATTTTTTTTTTCAGAAGCCTGTCGACGACATAAAAGAGAATTGTCTCCACAAAAGTAAAAGATATAATCGATTTAAATCGTACTGGAGACATAGCCGCTGCAGGCTGCCAAACAGGTATTACTTGCTCTAGTACGAATATAAAAATAAAAGGTCTGTTAAGAGTGCAGTCCTTAACGTCTGTCATTTTTTAACCTCGCATGGTAATCTTCTTTTACCCAGTATACTGAATAATGTAAACTTCTCTTATAAAAGATTTTGTTTTCTGTAAAATTGAAAAACGTTCTCATCTCCACTTAATAGCGTAATTAATGTAAAAATATCTTCACTGTATAATACCTGTAATCTTCTTTCACTTTATAACATGTAATCTTCTTTTACTCAGTATACTGAGTAATGTAAACTTCTCTTATAAAAGATTTTGTTTTCTGTAAAATTTAAAAATGTTCTCATCTCCACTAAATAGCATCATTAATGTAAAAATATCTTCACTTTATAAGATGTAATCTTCTTTTACCCAGTATACTGAATAATGTAAACTTCTCTTATAAAAGATTTGTTTTAAAAATGAAAAAGTTCTATTTCTACATCTATTTAAAAAGTCACTATAACATAATTAATGTAAAATCTACTTCTATTTTCAGGTGTCCATAAATTAAAAGATTAGGTCCTTATACTGAAATTTTATATATGTTTAAAATTAAATGACTGTCCTTTATTTTACGTTCAGTAATATAATAATTTTATTTAACCCATATAAAGGAATTATTTTCTTTTCCATGGGGCTTGATCAAACGAGCTGCGAGATTTAAAAATGTTGCTAAAAAGGAAAGATGTATGATGAAAAAGAAACATCAAGGGAAAAATGTGAAACTCAGCAAAACGTACCGTCCGTGGAGAGAACTCTATGACGGGCGAGATCGGTTTTGTTGCCCACTAGGATGACAGCTTTACTATCCACATTGTCCCATTTTTGGATCAAACGAAGCACCTCTTTTGCTGCTTGTAAACTTCGTTTCGAGGTGACAGAATACACGACGAGATAAGCATCCGGATTGAAAATTTCAGTGAAATTCGCATTCTGAAAGAGACAAAGATATGAAATAAGTAAATGTTTTCCACTTAGAAATCTACTTCTTGTATTTACATTGCCTTTTAACAGTAAGTTAAAATAACTTCTGACATTACGTAATGAAACGGTGTGTCTTATATAATATACAAATGCAAATTTCGGAATGTTCTTACAATACTTTAAGAAAAGACTTAATCATATACCATCCACATTTAAACGATATTCTTTGCGCAGAATTCTTGAGCAATAATGGATTTCAATATTCATGCCAGTCTCACTGCTAAAGTGCAAGAGTTTCTGCTGCAAAAATCTTTTTGGATCATTAATCCGATTATAATTTGAATTGTAAATTTAGGGTCGTAAATTCGGATCACAAAATGGTTAGTCACTTGCTTTTCTCACATTTTTAATAGCCGGAATTCAAAAAGTTTGACTAAAACCTGATTAATAAGTCACGTTCAAGCGCGGTGAAAAGCTTAGTATTTTCAATCGTGTCAAAACAATGGAAATCATTTCTCTTTTTTCGCTCACTTAAATTTCTAACTTAAAACGCTATGAATATTTCATCGGATTAGGTTCAGCTTTGTCGATACACATTTAAATAAAGGACTTACTTTTCATGTGCAACCATTCTGCTTCCTGATAAAGATTTATAATTATTTTACCGTTGGCTAAGCATCAGAACGATATGCGACATGTATTTTATATATCAAGTAGTTTATATATCGAAAAGCGCATTTCAGATGGGATTCAAGAAACCGTTTTTATTAATTAATTTAGTGAAATTATATGCATTTATTATTTTTCGAATAGTTGAAACCTTTAATTTATTCATTTGTCTTATTCTCTACTTTTGGCAACTATCATTATGGAAAAAAAAACTAAAAAGATGAAATGAATTTTCCTTTGGTATTTAGGTCACCTTTATCGCGTACGTGTTCTGAGACTAATTCTAAGACTGTCAAAGAAAGAAAGTAACTTTTTAAACTTAAAAAAGAAAAGCACTTATGCACCATAATGTAATTTTAACGAAGAAAAGAAACACTTTCTCTAAATATAATGGATGGCAAAATAAAAATCGAGATACCTTTTTCGCACGTTCAAATATACTGTAAAGTTACTTTCTTAGCAGTTAAATTAAAGAAGCAGGAAAGTCTTTGTGTTATGTTTCTAGCAAACGAATAATAACTTTGAACGAAACGATAATTGAAAATGTTAATTTCTTGACAGTGGATATTCCACTATAATATATAAGAAATGAGAAAAAAATCATATTGCTATGCATGTCCTATAATATGGAATAAGAAACCTAATCTTACAATACGTAATTTGAAAGTTAATCTATTAAAGCAGAAAAAATGTTGATATCTTTATCCGCCAATCCATGTGACACATAAATTATAAGTTATAGCAGCTAACGAATAAAACATTTTTTTTGGAATTTGTTACAGAAAAAATTTTATCCTAATCCTAATTTAACCCTTTAGGAAATATTTTTTATGTATTGTATTTATTTTTTTTTATTTATTTATGTATGTATTTATTTTTCACTGTTCAACGATAGTGAAATAAATAATATGCTTCTGTAACAGCTTTAAATAATATTAAAATCTTGTAGATTAAATAATTTAAATAGATGAACATTAAGGTATTTGTGAATGGCAATATTTGAAACCAGACTCGAGTGCCTCGTGCGACTCTCGCACGAAGAATGTAATTTATTTTTAAATGATAGAATATGTTTTCTCTTCTTGTTTGTATGTCGCCATTTTTTCGAATGTTAAATAAAAGTTATTGCTGTGTTCCATCATTGGAGTTGCTTCATATCGCCAAAGAAGTATTACACTTCGTTAAAAATAATCAGTAAAACATCGTTAAGTTTTTCGTGTATAGCTGCAAAGGTATGTATTTAAAAAAGCAAACTATGTTTATTAAATATTTCTATCAAAAATTTTATGACGTACTGAAATTCAAAGACAGTCATACAAAATGAAAAACATAATACATTTAAATATAATTTATTTGCTAAATTTAAATGAGGAAATTAGAAGATTAGAAGAAAACTTGGTTGGTGAATTAGTTATGTAAAACAGAGAAAATTTCACCATTTCTAGCCTTAGAATATAGTAGGAAATGATATCATTTTTGGGAAAGAATTATACAATGACATGTGCTCGCATCTCATTTTTCAAGTGATAAATATAACGAATTTTCATGACTTCCTTTTCCCTTAATTGTAATGTTGAAATTAAGAAAATGGTGTTGAATGAAATAGAACAGTTAATTGAACACAAGAATGATACCGACATCAAAATGAAATTCCAAGTAAAAAAAGCATGGGATTTCTGGACCACATTACCAGTGACATAGTGAAATGTACAATGGTGATTTAAACATTGTAATTCAGTTTGCTTCTGTGTATCCATGTGAAAAGAGTTTTCATCAACAATTCAAATAAAAACAAAGTGGCCGATTAGACATAAAATATTAAATGGGAATATTAATTTCCTTCTATTAACTTAATCACTCGATACCAATATAAAATTACAGGAATTTTAATTAATGATATTTAAGAAATATAACTATACCATTAGTAAAAAATTCTAAAATACACTGCTTTGGAAGAGGGCAAGAGTAGATGGTCTGCAGAACATTCTAATTTATGAAAGGGGTCCCTGCTTGAAAAAAAAGTTTGAGAAATTTTGTATTAAAGGAATGCATAAAATGCATTAAAGTCAAACCGAAACAAATCTTGATGAAGTTTCATCAAACGTGAATCATAGTCACTGAAAATTGTGTGTTTAAAACTATTACAATTCAAGAACCTCGCGACTGAAACATGCATTCAGACAACTAAGGAAACAAAGAAAAATGTTGCCAGTTAAAACTTTGCTGAAAGGTACATATGCAAAGGACGTAATTTGAGGATTTTCGATCAGATTCCAAGTAAGAAACATAACATGTTTTTTCAACAAAACAGAGTACCTCTGTATTTTCACCGACTGTGCTAGAGTCTCGAAATCGTAAATATTCTAATTAGTGGACTGAACGAGGACGTCCTTCAGCTACAATAGAACAGTGCGGTTTGCAACTGAAAAATGCGATTGTGTAGAATTGCTGAAAGTGTTTCTGAAAAATAATATCTATGCCAATTATGGCTGGTTTTCTTATACTCAGTTTTACATGATGAGTCAGGAAGCTTTCACATCATGAGCTAGATATCACAGTTCTCCTAGTCATAATACGTAAAAGTCATTAGCTGCGTTCGCGCCAGTGGAATAGGTGTGTCGTAGCCAGTCCGGGAAGGTAAATTTGCGCATGCATGAATGTGCGGATGACGCTGCTAAATCATCGACCGGATGCCAGTTTGTGTTTTTTTCGCTGTAAATGGTCTATTCTTATGCCAACTTGGCCTGAAGTTGAAAAAGTAGAACATTTAGAAAAAATCCCTATACCTATTTTCATGACGTGGAAAGGTCAGATTGTCTAGCAATGAATTTCAGCTTAGTTCAGCTGTGACCGCACAGCTCTTGTGTGAATGCTCCATCATTTTATACAATACGTGTGTTAGAATGGAATTTAAAAAAGACAGACAGAGTTGTTAACATGCTTACACGCAGAAGGAAAACTTCATTAAAAATTATGAGAAGAGTATGATATTTAATGAAATGAAGCTGCAGCAAGTGGTAACAAAATGCTACAGCAACTATAACGAAGGTAAGCGTAACTAAATTAAATAGTATTTAAAATTAAAAAGTATGTAAACCAAATTACCATTCATTCGTTTTCTATGGAATAAACTGATTCCCAAGAATAATGCATTAACTAAATCATAACAAGATTTTATAACGTAAGGAAAAATTCTCCTTTTTCTAAAACATTAATAATGCAAGTCGAAGATCACTTTTAATGAGGCCATAAGCTTATTACTAATACTGACAGATTTTGAAACATAATTTAAGACTTCACTTTCAGTTACGCTTCTCTAAGATACAAGTCGACAGATTATTTTGACACAGAAGTCTATTCACAGCATCTAAATGAATTATAAAAAGAGGAATTACGAAAAATTCTTTAGGTAATGTTATTTTAATCAAGTTACTCCTTTTTTTCTGATTATTAATATAAAGTCGTTTAATGCTATTAAATTTATGTTGTTAGTTAAAAAGAAAATGCTTTTCCGAAGCTATTAGGGAAATGGGGAAGGAACGTAAAATAAAATAAAGATAATCTTCCATGTTCGGTAATATTTGGTGTGCTTTCAAAACTTATTTTTATGTCATTTCAGTTTTGATGCACGAACTGAGATAAAAAGGCAACTTACAGAAAACAAAGGATTAACAGCAGCTTTCAATTTATTTAACTGTACAAATAATTATTCTGCAATAATTTATTGCTTATCCACATCAAGAACATTAGAAATCAGCCAAAAGGTTGAAATGAATGGAATTTCCAGTTATCCGAATTTCAGATATCGAGAAGTCCTGTTATCCGGATATACACTCGTCGGTAATAGGCTTTAATTTTTTACTTCATTTCAATTAAGGTTTTCATTTAAATACTGCTTTTATCAAAAATAAAATATTAAAATTTTTTAATAAATAATGAAAATATTTAATGAGCTACTTAATAAATAAATAAAGTATATCAAAGTTTTAAAAATATTTTACATCAGTAAATATTAATAATAATTTTGGTTAGGTTATATGTTTGTTTTGCCGAAATAAAAAATCTCATGTACACAACACATGACTTCCTTGTACAAAATATTAAATTATATGCACTTTTTATTGCATTTGATTTAAACTTATTGGATTGGATTAAATCTATTTCGTCGATAGTGCTTAAACCACAATAGAATAAATGCACTCTTTAAAATTCACTATATTTGTTTACCACAGTGACACTCTGGCGCTAGGCTCACTTAACAGCGTTCGTTACATTTCATTCATTTTATACCTTAGGTCTTAGGTCATCACTTTAGTAAGTGGCGTACGATCAAGTAGTCT